AAGCTGGTGAGTTTGAACTGTTGACCTTAGAAGAGTTAGCAGTCCAGTGCTTATCCTATAGTGCCACCAGGACTTCCTGAAGCAAGCGACTTAACCTATTATTAATTCTCTTGAGTTCGCTTATCCCGTGAGGCTTCTAGGAATAGAATCCTGACTGTTTCCCTTACATTGGGATCAGCAGAACACATCCAACCAAAAGGATGACTTGGCAGACAGAACACAGTCCCCTCTAAACAGTGCAGAAAGACTGTTAATGTGGAATAAAGCATTCTTTTGTCCATCTTTAAGTTCTAAGAATTTGAAAGGGCCCAGAGGGGCCAGAATTATAGTGCTTACTATTTCAAATGAAATGCGGTGACTTAATGTTTTTCACCTGTTGCACACACAGTGCAAGATATGCGCATCAGTACTGTGACAGGGAGGGAGGGGGCGGAGGCGCGTTGACACTGGTTGAGTGTTCAAAGCCTGCATACTGTCATTATTGGGCCTTCCCTGAACTAAAAGCTTGCTACCTAGTTGAGTTGAGCATACCTAGAAAGAAGTCAATTTGGCTTAGTTTGTGGCTCATTTTCTCTCTGGGAACATTTCTTATCTAAGTTTCCTATCAGATCGATTGGGTCATTCCAGAGATGAAACAGAATTGGGTGTAGTCTGCTGATTGAAATGTAAATGGAGTTACCGGAATCTTGTTGTGGGTCCATTGATAATTTAGCATCTGGTTTGTAAAAGAGAAGTAATTCTCACTCCACAATGCCCTCCTCCCCACAATACCATCAGGATTAATGCTAATTTGCTTGCTGTATAATTGGTTGTACCTTATATGAACCACTGATGCCTCTGACAACAATCCTAATTTGTTATTTTTGTTGTTGTTAAGTGCCATCAAGTTGGTTCCAACTCATAGCGACTTTGTATAAGGTTCCCAAGGAGCAGATGGTGAGCTTGAACCACTGACCTTGCGGTTCAAACTGACGTCTCAGGCAATCCAGCACATTAAATTGGAGCACCACACTAGGACTCCTATAGTAATTCAATCTTGACTAATCAATAAACTTACCTGGGGAACATCTAAACGTTTATCAAGATGTCCAGGCCACATCCCATACCACAATCTCCTGGGATAGGAGATGGCGTTTGTTCTTTTTAGAGCTCCACAGGTGATTTTAAGGAGCTCTGGTAGGGTACTGGTTATGAGTCAGGCTGCTAACCCCTACCTAGGTCAGCGGTTCGAAACTACCAGCTGTTCCATGGGAGAAGGTTTTCTGCTCCCATTAAGAATTACAGCCTCAGAAACCCTATGCAGACTAGCTATGAGTTGGAATCGACTCCAAGGCATACCACCACCACCACCACAGGTGACTCTGGTGTCCTGGTGTAGTGCTGTAGGATAAGCACTGGGCTGCTAACTGCAAGGTTGAAACCTACCATACATACAGGGTTGTGTTGTGAGTTGGAACGGATTCAACAGCATTTAATAAAAACAACAGGTAATTCCAGTAAGCATGTATCACTTCCCAAAAGATGAGTAAGGAGAAGTGTGAAGGTCAGGTGGCAAATCTGTAGTCAGTGGCATTTTGGAGTGGAAAGTTTCCCTTTACTTTACAGCTCGATGAGTTGTAAACTGCTCATTGAGTCCGAAAGTAAGTAACTTGTTCAGAGTCAGGAGTTTGTTGAAGGCAGAGCCAGAACAAGGAGTCAGTTTTAAATAAACAACAGTAGACAGGATACTAATGTACCAATCAAATCTCCATGAATTAATCAGCTTCATAATCAGTCATTTTCCTCTACTGAATGTGCTGATTGGAACAACTACTTTAATTTCAATGTATCAACCCTGTTCTGTTTCTAATCCCAAATCATACTTGAAGTCCTAATGTGTCTTATGAAAATGCACATTTTCTCTTTCTTGAGGTTTCTGTGAGACGTTGTTTTTGTTGCTGTAATTAGACATATAACAAGCATATCACATTTCCTGACCTGTTTCCTAGCCCAAGGCTGTGGGGTTTGGAGGGTTCTGAGCACATAGCTGAACTGTGCAACGGTTGCTTCAACTGTCTTTATGATCACAGTACGTTTCATGTGCAAAATACCACCTTTTGGGATTGTGTGAAGGAACCTTGGTGGCACAGTGGGTTAATCATTAGGCTGAAAACTTAAAGGTTGGGAGTTTGAATCTGCCAGTGCTCCGTGGTAGAAAGCTAAGGCAGTCTGTTTCTATAAAGATTTAGTCTCAGAAGTTCTACAGGGTCATTATGAGTCAGAATCCACCTAATGGCAGGGGATTTGGATTTGGGTTTGAGTTGGGGTTGTATGTCAAATACCCTAATGCTACCAAGGAGCTCTGGTAGCGTAGTGGCTACGAATGGGGCTGCGAACCACGAGGTCAGCAGTTCGAAACTACCAGCTGCTCCACAGGAGAAAGATTCTGCTCCCGTAAAGATTTAGAGCCTCAGAAACCCTGTTCAGGGTTGCTATGGGTCGGAACTGACTCGACAGCACTTAACAACAACAACCTTTGTTATCTATATACCTCCCTGTTGTTATTATTAGGTGCCACTGAGTTGGTTCTGACTTATAGCGACCCTGTATAGGGTTTCTGAGGCTGTCAATATTTACTGGAACAGAAAACCTCATCTGTCTCTTAGGGCATGGCTGGTGATCTCAAACCACTGACCTTGTGTTTTGCAGTCCAGTGCTACAGAGCCACCAAACTTCCATAAACCTCCTTAACAGCCTCCTGAATTTGTACTGTGATATACTTTTATGCTACAGATAAACTTCTGGAAGACTTGAAGGTAAATGATAGGAAATCTCAGCTGACATGCTCTAGTAGAACTTGCCATTTAAAATAGATCCACTTCCGTGAAGCCAATCACAGACTGATTCTCTAATATGATAACCAGAGCTTTTCTTAACCGCTGACACTATCACATCGGATGTGAATGACAGCTTTCTTTCCCCTAGGCCAGGGATTGGGAACATTTTTCTGCCAAAATTTATAACATCATTCATGGGCCATACAACATTATCAACTTAAAAATTAGCCAGCTATATTTGGTCAAATATTTAATTAACTCAACCCTATACTGGGTCACTATGAGTCGGAACCGACTCGGTGGCACTTAACAACAACGTGATGGTTGGAACTGCTGTTGCCTTGGCAGGGTCAGAGCAAATGATTTTGAAGGCCTTATACATATCGCATTAGGCAAATCTGCTGCACAAGACCTTTTTAAAGTGTTGAAGAGCAAAGATGTCAGCTTGAGGACCAAGGTGTGCCTGACCCAAGCCATGGTATTTTCAATAACCTCATATGCATGAGAAAGCTGGACAGTGAATAAGGAAGACCTTAGAATTGCTTTTGAGTTATGGTGTTGGAGGAGAATACTGAAAGTGCCATGGGCTGCCAAAAGAACCAAGAGATCTGTGTTGGAAGAAGTGCAGCCAGAGTGTTCCTTGGAGGCCAGGATGGCCAAACTTCTTATCTCATACTTCGGACATATTGTCAGGAGGGACCAGTCACTGGAGAAGGATATCATGTTTGGTAAGATGGAAGGTCAGAGAAAAAGAGGAAGACCCCCAGTGAGATGGATTGGCCAAGTGGCAGCATCAGTGGGCTCAAGCGTGGCAACAATTGTGAGGTTGGTCCAGGACCAGGCAGTGTTTCATTCTGTTGTGCACAGGGTCGCTATGAGTCGGTACTGACTCAATGGCACCTAACAACAACAACAACAACAATATGGCCTGTGGAGTCCTGGTGTGGTGCTGTGGGTTAATGCACTGGACTGCAAAGTTGTTTGAACTGCAAGGTCGCAGGTTCAAGCTTACCAGCTGCTCCTTGGAAACCCCATACAGGATCTCTATAGGTTGGAACCGACTCAGTGGCACTTAACAGCAACAACATATGACCTGTGGGGAGTCCTGGCACTTGGGTTAATGTGCTGGACTGCAAAGCTCACTAGTCACTCCTAGGAAATCCTATATAGGATCGCTATGGATCGGAACTGACTCAACGGCACTTAACAACAACAACAATATGGCCTGTGGAGTCCTCGGGTGGTAGGTGCGGTGGGTTAATGTGTTGAACTGCAAGGTCGGTTTGAATTGCAAGGTCAGTGGTTCAAGCTCACAAGCCACTCCTCAGAAATCCTATACAGGGTCACTATGAGTCCATTCTGAGCAGAACAACAGGGTCACTATGAGTCAGAACTACTTGACATCATTTAACAACAACAACAACATACAGCCTGTGGGCAGATGTTCCCCACTCCTGCCCTAAATCTTTCCAGAACTGGAACTTTTCTGAACAGATTTGACACTGCCCAGATGTATTTTTTTCCTGGAAACAGAGGCTCTTCTGTGTTTTCTCTGACTCTGGTTAGTTTTTTGTGAAAACCAGGGTTCTCCACTTTCAGGGCAATTTAGAGGGGAAGTGCAATAATTTCCAGAATAAAGCATACCCATACATAACAAAAACAGGTAAAGAATTTTGGAAACCAGAAAAAAAAAAAGGGTGTGTACATGTAATAATGGTGTGACTTGTAGGATAAACACTGCACTGCTAACCACAAGGTCAGCGGTTCAAACCTACTAGCTGTTCCTTGGAAACCCTAAAAAGTTCGCTATGAGTCAGAACCGACTGGACAGCACGTAACAACAGCCATATATAATAATATGGGAGCCAAGAATATGGGACAATTGTGTGTGTTTCATGTGGAGGCTATGCTATATGGGTATATAAACATTCCGTAGATAGCCTTTGTCCTGGGCAAATCAGTCCAGTTGATTAACAGGCAAGGCGCCCAGGGGCGTTTGGGCAGCTTCTGGGACGCCTCCAAGCCAGCAAGCATAAAGCAGCTCTTTGCCTAAGGAGTGGAGAGACCACACTGGCGGCTGGCTTGGGGTAAGTGCGGAAAGTGGAAGGGGGTGCGTGCAGACAGTGGAAGGGGGTGTGTGGGGGTCCACCGGTGGCCCGCCCGCGGGGAGGGAACGGTTCTTACAGTCACTGATCAGCGCGAAGGGAGCGCGGCGGCGGCCGAGGGAGCGGTCTTCGGCGAGAGCCTCGGGAGGTCTCTTACCGGCGGGCAGCGGGAAGGCGGACGTGGTGTGGAGCAGCACCAGGCAGACAGCCACGACATCCCATAACTTCATCTTAGAGTCCCGTCCAGCGGCGGCACCTGCGTGGGAAAGAAATCCAGAGAATGCATATTAGACATGGGTGCCCCCAGGGCTTGCCATACCTGCGTCCCATCAAGCTCAACATTTCTTCTCCCAGACATCCCCCTCCAGTTCTCCGCTCCCCTTCCTCCCTGCCCTCCCTGTTTAGTTCAGGTCTCAATTGCACTTCTGCGCCACATCTTCCTAGAGGTCGAATTTTTAAGCTGCTGTGGCCCATATATCCCAACACACCACCGGGACTCCAGGCTGGACCCTTCTATTGGCGAGCAACACCCGTCCCAGCAACATTCCCGTCGGACAGCATCCACATCCCCTCCCCCCACCGCCTTAAATCTAATGCACCACAATGTTGGCAGTCTGGACGCTACTCCAACCTCCCAGCCAGACTCAGCCTCGCCACTTACCCCGCCCACCATCGCTCCTCGCTTCTGTCTTCCTATCCAAATAATCATTTTGCCCCAGGAACAAGAAGCTCGGGATTTGGAGACTTTACGCCTGTGTGGGACTAACTGCGTAAAATTACTAAACTTTTAAAGCATCTACCACCACCACCGGGCTTAGAAATACTAGTCCCACCTCGCTCTCTCTTTCTCTCTCTCTCTCTCTATACATACCTACATACATACATATATGTTGTTGTTACGTGCCGTGGAGTCGGTTCCGACCCATAGCGACCCTGTACAGGGTTTCCGAGGCTGTAAATCTTTACGGGAGTAGAAAGCCTCATCTTTCTCCTGCGGAGCGGCTGGGTTGGCCTTAAGGTTCACAGCCTGATTCGTAACCACTACGTTACGTTTACATTACCAGAGCTCACTCTGTGTGTGTGTGTGTGTGTGTGTGTGTATATATATGTTGCAGGGCATACAATACGCACTCAATAATTGCTACCATTGCTGTTAGGGATTCCATTTGTTTTGAAAATTTAAATCTTCCGTTGTTGTTGTGAGGTGCCGTAGAGTCGGTTCCGACTCATAGAAACCCTGTATAGGGTTTCCAAGGAGCGACTGGTGAACTTGAACCGCCGACCTTGTGGCATATCGGAAAACTTCCTCTTGATTTTATTTCTTTTGCAGCCCTGCTAGATACTGGCCCCAAATCCCATCCCTTCCAAGGAGAGTCGAGTTACCTATCATTCACCCTAGTCCAGAAGGCCTGGGTTTAGCTTTTATCAGTCTTTACACCCTTAGAAAGGAGGGGCACCAGGCGGGCAAGAACCATGTACTGTGAACTCCAGGTGTAGTGGGGGTCGGTACGCCTCGTGGTGCGCTGTTGCTCAGTTACTTCCTAATATATGAGGGTATATGAAAGAATTCTAAAGCGGAAACGACTCGAGATTCACGCAGTTGATAATCCCTTCCGTCAAATAAAACCGATTCTTAAAGTCCTTGAACTTTTTCCGGGGGAGGGGCAATTTCAAGGTGAATGCAAAATCTTAGGACCTTTCCTCCCCATTAATTCCCAGGCACGCCAGTCCTCTCCAAACCCCAGCCACCCGCTGTCCATTCGGGCCACCGTGGGAAGAGTTTAATTCAGCCGCCACCTCCCGTAGCGGAGAGGAATGCATTTTCCATCTCTCCGGCATTTGCTCGAGAAACAGCTGTTGGACTTGGGAAATTTGCTGGAGCCTGGGACTTCTGGCGACCTAAAGTTCTGGGATGGACTGGCACAGTGGCGGCAACGATGGGCTCAGGCATAGAAACGATTGTGAGGTTGACCCAGGACCAGGCAGTATTTCGTTCTGTTGTCGGTACCAACTCGATGGTACCTAACAACAAGAACAAAATTCTGGGCGCCTCAAGCCGCTCAGACTGGTTTGCTGGAAAAGCAGTGGCTTTGGGGCTAGCACCCAGACATTGCAAAAAGAGCGCAGCGAAGCGCTTTGTCAGCGGGGACTCGGGAATGCAAGGCCTACTGCCGTTTGGGTGTCAGTTCCCCGGTGCGTACGAAATGGCTGGCGGCCGCTAAGAGCCGGGAGGCGCGGGGTTAAAGCACCATTCCAAATCGTGGTGCCCGCCAGCAGGAAGCAACAGAGGCACCAGATTTCCCTTCTGCATTAAGAGGGTTTCCCCTTTTTTCCTGTTTGGCCGACTTAGGGTTTTTTTTTTTTTTTTTTTTTTTAATTGGACGTGAAGTTCCTCAATTAAAAGTGTGGCGAAGTTGGCAAAGGAGGAAACAGTGGGAAACTCTGCTTAGCCAGAATAGGCTCCCAGCTCCCGTTCCCGCCCTTGGTCAGTCGCGGCAAGAGACCATAGATGTCCCTCCACCCTTAGGGACTGAGAAGGCACATTCTCCCCTCGAGCACCGCCCCGGCAACTTCCAACCAGAGTGACTCTTTAGTTCCTGGTATTTCCTTGGTGGTGGTGGAGGCTAGGCTTACATAGGACGTGCTTTCCTGAGCCCATCTGCGTCCCCTGTTTATTCTTCATTTTCCAAAAGCACGTCTGCCCGATGCTCCCCGTTTCCCTCCCAGTCCCCTCTAGTCATCCGCCTGTCCGACTCTCCGTCACAAGCACAAACCAAGCTTGTGTCCCGAACAAGTTCTCCTGCTAGGTGTCCCCACACCCTTTCTGGTGCCTGATGAATTGGCACTCCTCTGTGTTCGGTATCAGCGAGCCCCAGCGGGGCCAGAGAAACTCTCTGCAGGCTCAGACATCTAGGTCTTTAGGCCGGAGGTGAAAGGACGCCCAGGTGAAAGCGTTGCTCCCGCTGAAGCTTCAGCTCGCTGCCAGGAGCTTTCCGGGTTATCAGCACCAGGGGGCACCACAAACCGTCGGAGCCCTGCAGCACCCACGCGTTGGAGACGCCAAGTTGTCATTTTTAGTATAAACTGAAGGAGTAAAACCACTCCCCCTAAAATCCTCCCAAAATCTGAATTAGCCATGGAACTTCTGGGTGTTCTTCCCAGCTTCTCTGCTTCCCAAGCTCCAACCTTTCCATCCTCTCTCTAGTTTTCCTCTTCCCACCTCACCTGGGCAGGTTTCTGCGCAACCTGCCTTTTAGAATGGCCGTCGCCTCCTCAAGTCTTCCCCCATTCCCTCTCCCCGTTTCCAGGCCTCACGCAGAGAGCTTTTCGGCGGGTGCACGATCCCGCCCCAGTGCCTCCGCACTTTCTTATGCCTGGCAAGCTCGGAGGTTTGTTTGGGCTTTGCCTTCAAGATCCCGATTTCAGGAGAATAAAAGGGAGGCAGTGGAACTGGGGTTATCTGTACATCGGGGTTTTTCTTTTGGGGGCAGGGGAAGAGGTCACTAAAAGAGCTACTGCTTGTCCAACAGCCTCTGGTCCTTCACTGATGGAGGTCTAATTCTCTTCTTTTTACCTTCCAACATTCGCGCCCAAGACCGGGAAAAATAAGAGTGTGGAACGCTTCTCGCGGAAGGCGGGGGAGTGGGGAGCGAGGTTTGTCGGTTAAAGGAGGTGAGTCCCACGTCCAGGAGGAACATCTGAACCCCTGGAGGACGTCACGGGTTCCCTGAACACCCGACATTTGTCACTTGTGGAAAAAGCAGCACCGCCCCCTCCCAGCCAAAGCAGGGCTTTGCCGGAGGGAGAGCGTACTTGAGGTTGAATTCGAGCGTGCATCAAACTTATCTGCGCTACCGGCTAGAAGAGTTTGATGTCCCGGCGGAACTGGGCAGCCCACCGCTACCCCCGGGGCGCATTCGTCGGCTCTGCAGGCGGGGTCTGCTAGAACCTAAACAAGGAAGGAGCCTGCAGGCTGGGAACCTGCGAGAGACCTGGATTCCCGAACCCCAAAGAGGGTTCGTTTATACAGAGTGTGTTTGGAAATCAAACTGCCGCAGAATAGGACCCATCACGTTGCAAGGTGGAAGGTGTATTGAGGCAGGAGACATAAAGGGGAAAATAGATCTTTATAACAATCACCTCCATGACTTTGAAGAGCCCTAAGAATCAGTTTCGGAGTACTGGTGTGGTGCTGTGGGTTAATGCGCTGGACTGCAAGGTCGTTTGAACCAAAAGGTTAGCGGTTCAGGCTCACTAGCCACTCCTTGGAAACCCTACATAGGGTCGCTATGGGTGGGAACAGACACAACAACAACACAACAAGAATCTGTTTAAGGCAGAAACTTGAGTCCCAGACTGCCCAAGGAACCCCTTACTAACTTAACTTCGACGAGAATGGTTACTTGGATCTGGAGGGCGTTGGGGAAGTGCAAGCAACTCGGTCCAGAAAAGGGCGAAGAATGTAGTTTTGCAAGGTCTCCCCCTCTCCCGCCTCAGGAGGTAAGTCCTCTATTTTTAGGTTCTCAGCACCTTTGCAGCGGTCTCTCCCAAGGCCTGCACTTTCCCTCGGAACAGACCACAGCAAGCTCAAAAGAAGTTACACACTCAGCAATGGCAGTATTTGTGCGTGTCCAGTGAAAGAACCTTCCCTGGCCACAATGGGTTCGAAGATGACCCCAGAAGGCACGGTCCGTGGACTTGACAGAGGAGCGCCCCGGCCAGTCGAGGAAAACAGCCCTTCTAAGGCATTCTGGGGGCCAAAGCTTCCGGGAGTTCCAAGGATCATGGCCCCACTTGGAAAAGACAACCTGATCATATGCAAGGCCAGCCTCTTTGCGGTTCAACTCGTCTCTCCTCTCTGTCCTCTCGGTGCCTCGGCTTCCTCTAGTCTTTCCTCTCTCCATTCTCATCTCTAGCTCTGGCTCTGAGGTCCAACCGCGCACCTCTGTCCCAGTCGCCCAGCAGCTCGCCGCGCCCGCCGGCAATACTGACGCTAGCTGCCTCCTCCATCCCGGACCTCTCCTCCACTTACCTCGGATCCGGTCTCCGCAGACCCCCAGTTGGACATTAACTCCAGGAACCCCGAATCCCAGCCAGGAGAAGCCGAGGGCCGAGGATAGGAGCGCAGAGTTCCTCGCAACAGGTCGGGGGCAAGAGTTCGCAATTCGCCTGCCACGCAGGACGGCAAGGGCGCGCAGGAGGCGGCGGCCAAGGCTCCCGCAGCCGCCGCCGCGAGGAGGGCGAGAGCCGCCGACAGTTCCCTCGCCGGCCCCCCACACCTCCCGAAGTCGAGATCCGAGCAGCCGCCGCTGCCTTGGGTGGGGGGCGACAGGGCTGCGCACGCCGCGCTCTAGGTTGGGGCTGCGTGAGCCCGTGGTTCGGCGGGCGACTCAGCTGTGGCGGCCGCGCTGTGCGCCTTCTCGGGGCGCTGCGCTGGGGAGCACGAGACGGGCCGGGCTGATGCTGCCACCGGAGCTGAGTTCTGGCCTGGAAATCCGAACGAGATACCACGTCAACCAGCGCGGGGAGTCCCGTGAAGACATGAGGGCGCCAGGAGCGCAAACTGGTCCTCGAGAGTCCGGGCCGGGGGGCCGGGATGGGGGAAGGGAGCGCGGGGCCCCGGTAGGGGAGGGGTCGGAAGGCGGCGGCGGGGCCAGGCGGTAGGGGAGGGAAAGGAGAACAGCGAGTAGGCGCCCGAGCTCCCGAGGCGGGGGCGCGGGTGTGAGTAGGTGACGCGAGGCGCCCCTCCCCGGGGTGCAGGGAGAGCGCTCAGCGCAAGGAGACGCAGCGAGGCTAGCACCTCCTCCTCGCGGGGTAGATCCGGAGGAATGTGCGGAGCTCGGAGCAGGCCAACCGAAGGGGGCAATCCGAACTTGACCGTGGCCCCGCGCCGTCCGCGCCTGGCTTTGCTCCCGCGCCCTGCGCTCGGAGGGAGGGCGCTCTGGCCGGTGAAGGACTGATGTGGCTTTTCTCGCGTCTGTCAACGTTTTTTTTTTTTTTTTCCTCCTCGGCTCGCTCGCTCTCTCGCTTTTCTGCAGGGCAGAAGGTAGCGACGAGGAGGGGAGCTGCCAGCAGGACCCCTCAAAGCTCCACGAAGCAAAGATGTGAAGCGACCCAGTAAGGGAAGTCGAGTGTTTGCCAGCGAACGCTGGGAATGGGGATGCATTTATAGAGCTCTCACTGCGTGACGTGCCCTGCAGTGGCTTTTCTGATTCGCTTTCTGACAGAAACAGACATTAGTTGAGTCCCCATGCTAGGGCCAACACAGTCTCCAAATATCTGTTGGCTGAAGTCAGAGGCTTTGCATATCATGTATTACATGGCAGGCAACGAAGAAGGCTTCTGAGGCTGGCGGGCTCCTCAGTCTTAGGCTCCATTTTCATGCTGATGTAATATAATACCAGACTTGGGGTAGGCACATACATTCAAAATCCCAATTCCAGAGGTATAAGATCACTTTATCATGATCAGGTCAGGGGAGGTGGGCTAAGTCTGCTTTTATCCAGATTTTGAAAATGCACTTGAGAAACCTAACCCAGCCTTCCTTTGGGCACTCAGTTTCCAGCCACCAGGAACCTGGAGCCCCATCACTGAACCCTGTGAATGCGAGCAGTGAGGCCTTTTAGGCATTCCTTTTGTTGGTTACCAGGAGGGCACCAGGAAGGCAAGTCCTTACACACCCTGCATTCACATAGGGCATGGAATTAGCTCTCCCTTTAAAATAATATATTAAATGTGGTATGTCTTGGCTAAGTTGATGCCTGCTTTCCAAAAGCCATTGTAGCTGATCAGTGGGACCTCTTTTATTTTATTAGCTGGGGCCAAAGAAAGTGTCAACAGGATCAGTTTACATCCATGCACCTCTTGTTTTATGACTCATCCGGTTGTTGGGGAGTGAATCCGTGTTCTTCAAGTAGCTAATACAGACAATAGACTAGGGAAATGGGGGAAGGAAGAGGGGGAAAATCACATATTATTAAACTTCTTAAAGTCAAAGATCAGCTACTTTGGAGGTTTGTCAGTGAAGCTAGTGTGGGAGGAAAATTGTTCATACTAATATGACTATGATTTTAAATTAAGTCAAGTGAAAAATCAAGTCATCCAAACATACCTTAGCTGGAATTAGGATGCCTTTTGCAGTTTTGTGACATGTGACATTTCCTTATTTAATGGATTTATGGTAGAAATGTAGATGGATTTGGAAACAGGAGAGCAGAATAAATTCTGTTCAGCATACAAGGAGGCTTCAAACAAGTTGTGAGAAAACAGAAGTCCATAATAATGGAATATCTCCACGAACTTTCTGAAGCCCCTCATATCTCTCCTAGTTTAGTATTGGTTTGGGAAATTGAAGCTGATCCTGGTCAATGCTCTTAACATGAGTGATTTCTTCATTTTTTCTAAAGGTTTTTCACTGGCTTTGGTCATGCCATTCAAGCACTGACAATTACTTATTCCTTGTTAAGTACTAGGCAAAGTGCTAGACCCTATGAGTTGTGCCAATTGGGCATTTTGGAGTTACAAGGAATGTTGTTATTGTTGTTAAGTGTTATAGGGTAGGTTCTAACACATAGTGACCCTGCATAGGGTTTTCCAAGGAGAGGTTGGTAGGTTTGAACCACTGACCTTGTGGTTAGCATACCAGTGACTCTCCTACAGCATTACACCAGGAATAGACACTACTATTTACCCAAAGTGTTGGAGTTTGCTGTGGAAGGAAGGCAGAATGGAATCTCCACCACTCAGCCACGTGTCTCAGAAAAGCCTTCCGGAAGGGCCACCTAGCCAGGCTGCATGAAAACTGGATTGAAGTTCAGGAACTGGAAGGTCATTCAGGATACGGCTCTGAGGCTGGGTTATCTTGCTGCCCCCTCAGCAGCAGGCATCTGCTGATCCCTCTAATGGGCTTAGCCACCAAGATGATTCAGCTTCTCTATAGCTGTTTTTCTGTGTGTGTCTTTTGGCTTCTGCTCCTGCCACCAACTGCTCAGCTTTCTGTTGATCTCACATTGAAACTCCCTGGTGAAAGGATCTAATTGGCCCTGTTAGGCACTAATCAGATCAGATAAGAGTTGAACTGAGCTTTTGTCTTAGGTCTCCTTATAGACTGCTAGGTGCCTTGTAGATCTGCAGAGTTGGGTCATGTGCCTATCTCTGGGCCAGTCACCTGGCTCTAGGTTGTTGTTGTTGTCCCATGGTACAGAGCCCGGTCAACTTTGCTTAAGAAACTTCCTAGGGTTCCCTTCCTACTTCTGTATTGTAAAATGATGAATGCTGCAATAGAGGCAAGTAATGAAGTTCCGGTGTAGTGAAGTCTGATCCTCCATGCCAGTGAGGCTTTGACTACACATTAGGATCCCATTAGAATTGCTATTGTTGTTGTTGTTATGTGCCATCGAGTCAGTACCGAACCATAGTGACCTTATGCACAACATTACGAAACACTGCCCCGTCCTGGACCAATCTCACAATTGTTGCCACACTTGAGCCCATTCATGCTGCTATTTTGCCAATCCATCTGGCTGGGGGTCTTTCTCTTTTTCTCTGACCCTCCATCTTACCACACATGACATCCTTCTCCAGCAACTGGTCCCTCCTGGCAATATGTCCCAAGTATGAGAGACGAAGTTTGGCCATCCTGGCTTCCAAGGAGCACTCTGGCTGCACTTCTTCCAACACAGATCTGTTGGTTCTTTTGGCAGCCCATGGCACTTTCAATATTCTCCTCCAACACCGTAACTCAAAAGCACCAATTCTTCTATGGTCTTCCTTATTCACTGTCCAGCTTCTATATGCATATGACCCATGGCTTTGGTCAGGTGCACGTTAGTCCTCAAGCTGACATCTTTGTTCTTCAACACTTTAAAAAGGTCTAGTGCAGCAGATTTGCCTAATGCAATGTGTCATTTGATTTCTTGGCTGCTGCTTCCATGAATGTTGATGGTTGATCCAATTTGCCCTTGACAACTTCAATCTTTTCTCTGTTGATAAGAATGTTGTTTTTTTGGTCCAGTGGTGAGTAGTTTTGTTTTCTTTACATTGAGATGCAATCCATACTGAAGTCTGTGGTCTTTGATCTTCGTCAGTAAATATTTTAAGTCCTCTTCACTTTCAACAAGCAATGTTGTTTCATTTGCGTATCACAGGTTGTTAATGAGTCTTCCTCCAATCCTGATGCCACATTTTTCTTCAAATAACACAGCTTCTCAGATTATTTGCTCAGCATACAGACTGAATAAGTATGATGAAAGAAGGCAACTTGGTCGCACACCTTTCTTAATTCGAAACTATTCAGTATTCCCATGTTTTGTTCGAACAGCTGTCTCTTAGTTCATGTACAGATTCCTCATGAGCACAATTAAGTGTTCCAGAATACTCGTACTTCACAATGTTGTTCATAGAGTGTCATGATTCACACAATTGAAGGCCTTTGCGTAGCCAGTAAAGCACAGGTAAACATCGTAAACATCTTTCTGGTATTCTCTGCTTTCAGCCAAGATCCATCTGACGTCAGCAATGGTATAACTTATTACATGTCCTCTTCTGAATCTGGCTTGAACCTCTGGAATGTGTGCTTGCAGCCATTTCTGTATACCTTTAGGAAAACTTTACTCGCACGGGATATCAAAGATGTTGTCTGATGATTTCCGCATTCCATCGGGTCACCTCTCTTTGGAATGGACACAGATACGGATGTCTTCCAATCAATTGGCCAGATAGTTGTCTTCAAAATTTCTTGGCAGAGTGAAGTGAATGCCTGCAGTGCCGCCTCACTTTCTTGAAAGATTTGAATTTCTATTCCATCAATTCCTGGTGCCTTGTTCTTTGCCAATTCCTTCAATGCACCTTGGACTTCTTTCTTCAGTATCATTGGCTCTTGATCATATGCTACCTCTTGAAATGGTCGAACATCAAACATTTCCTTTTGGTACAGTGACTCTGTGTATTCAGAAACCCTATACAGGATCAGTATGAGTTGGAAGCAACTGGAAGGCACACAACAACAACAATATATACCTGTGAAAGCTGAACAGTGAATAAAGATCAGAGAAGAGCTGATGCATTTGAATTATGGTGTGAATGAAGAACACTCAAAGTACCATGAATGGCCAGAAGAACAAATAAATTTGTCTTGGAGGAAGGACAACCAGAATGCTTCTTAGAAGCGAGCATGGGAAGACATCATCTTATTTACTTTG